GGGAATTAATAATTTTCTAAAAATTCAATGACTGATTCAAGTTTTTGCTTTTTATTAAAGGCAGCTGTGCGGAGACAGCCTTGAAGGACCAAATGATCCCTCATAGTGCATATGCTATATTACAGGGGAAGAAAAAAGAACCATTTTTTATTGTTGTAGATACTTTTATTTATATACTAAGGTACCACTGAAAAAGAAAACTTTGTATAACACAGAAGTTTACTTATAAATTTGCTGAGTTGTGAAGCTTAATAAGTTAAAGTATAGTATAAATGAGATTTAAAGTCACAGATTTTACACTTATGGAAAAATTTAAAGAAATCAAGAAACTGTTTTCACATTAAGATTGTTTTCTCAAAACTTCTTGTAATATGGCTTTGTTATCATTCAATTCAGTTCCCATTGTAAAAGAACTAACTAATACTGTTCATGTTCTGATAGATGTAATTTTAAAAACAGATGATCTGGTATTATAGAATTTAAGTAAACATTGTAAGTAAGTATTTGTAAGTAAGTATTTTATACTTACAGAACTGTCAGGTACAGTAGGGTGTACAGAAGGGGTTGGATGGACATAATAAGCTGGCTGACCATCAGGAGTAATATAGTGGCTATGATTCTGTAAAAACGAAGCTTGATGAGGCATACTAATGCTAGAATTTGGTAAAAGTGGTTGCACTGGATCCACATATGTGACCTGAAAAGAAAAAAATATACTTTATAATTAAAACAAATACTTTTATAAATACAAGGATACAAGAAAATATATTAAACTCTCCTTTACACTGTGGGGTCCCAGGAAAAATAGAACATGCAGGGCCCCTCACAGTATTCTGCAATAAACAAATGTGATGGCAATTTTACAACTGAATGATGTGGTACATCCATTAATAGATCAACTGTATGGTTTTTATATCTTTATCTTTAATAATTATTCATAAAAACATCTAAACAGGTTTACCATAGTGAGGGGCATAGGCAGATGCCTAAAGGCCAGTTCTGAGTATGAGGTAAATTTCTCTTGAACCCTGGCAGTGTGTTTACATAAAAATAAAACTATCAGACCTAGTAATTAATTTGAAATTTTAGTATATCCCAACACCTATTTATATTTTATACACATCTTCAGTAGTTAAATGGAAATTATATTCCAGAGAATAATCTTCCATCTATTCCTTTAACAAAATCAACATTCAAACAAAAAATATGAGCAAATATTTTCTTCAAGTACAAGTTATAACAGTAGAAGTCACTACTACTACATATTTTCTTCAAGTACTAGTTATAACAGTAGAAGTCACTACTATTACATATTTTCTTCAAGTACTAGTTACAACAGTAGAAGTCACTACTATTACATATTTTCTTCAAGTACTAGTTATAACAGTAGAAGTCACTACTACTACATATTTTCTTCAAGTACTAGTTATAACAGTAGAAGTCACTACTACTACATATTTTCTTCAAGTACTAGTTATAACAGTAGAAGTCACTACTACTACATATTTTCTTCAAGTACTAGTTATAACAGT